ATGTAGAAGAATGCAAAGAGATACATATTTATCAACCTGAACAAAACTCAAGTCCAAGTGAGTCAAGGACCTCAACATAAAACTGGATACAGTAAATCTCATAGAAGAGAAAGAGAAAAATAACCTTGAACACATTGGTACAGGAGACAATTTCCTGAACAGAACACAAATGGCTCAGGCTCAAACATCAAAAATTGATAAAGGAAACTAAAAATCATGAAACTAAAAATCATGAAACTAAAAATCTTCTGTAAGGCAAAGAAAGCTGTCAATAAGACAAAATAGCACCCTAGAGATAGGAAAAGAACTTCACCAACCCTATATCCTACAGAGGGATCATATCCAAAATTTACAAAGTTAGACACCAATAAACCAAATAACCCAATTAAAAACTGAGGTACAGAGCTAAACAGAGAATTCTCAACAGATGAATCTCAAATGGCCAACAAACAGTTAAATAAATGTCCAACATCCTTAGTCATCAGGGAAATCCAAATCAAAATGTCTCTAAGATTTCACCTCACACTCATCAGAATGACTAAGATCACCTACTCAAGGGACAACACATGCTGGCAAGAATGTGGAGAAAGGAGAATATTCTTCCATTGCTAGTAGGAGTGAAAACTTGTACAATCACTCTGAAAATCAATCTAGTGGTTTCTCAATAAACTGAGAACGATTCTACCTCAAGACCCAGCTATACTGCTCCTGAGAATATATCTAAAATATGCTCCATGAAACCACAAAGACACTTGCTCCACTATGTTCATAGCAGCTTTATTCATAGAATCCAGAAACTGGAAACAATCCAGATATCCCCTCAATTGAAGAGTGGATAAAAAAAAAAGTGGTTCATTTACAAAATGAAATACTATTCAGCTATGAATTTGGCAGGTAAATGGCGGTAACTTAAAAATATCATCCTGAGTGAGGAAACCCAAAAGGACATGCATGCTATGTACTCACTTATAAGTGACTATTGGCCATAAAGAACAGGATACGCATACTAAAATCCACAGACCCAAAGAAGCTAAATAGCAAGGAGGGCCCAAGGAAGGATGCTTGAATCTCAGTCATAAAGGGAAATAGAATTGCCATTGAAGTTGGATGGAGGGAGAGATTTGAGTGGGATGGGGACTGGAAGTGGAATGGGAGAATCAGATGTAGGAAGAAGAGGGAGAGAGGGCTAAGAGAATGAAAGGAAATCAGGATGGGGGGACTCTTTAGAATGTGCCAGAGACCTGGGATGGAGGAAGCTTCAGGGAGTCTGTGAAGGTGACTCTAGGTGAGGCTCCTAGCAGTGAGGAATAATGAGTCTAAAGTGGCTACCTCCTGTAGCCAAGCACGACACTCAGTGGAGGGATAAAGATGTCAACCTAACCATAAAACCTTTGACCCAAAATTTGTTTTGCCCGTAAGAAATGTAAGGTCAAAGATATAATAGAGACTGAGAAAATGGCCAATCTGTAACTGGCCCAACTTGAGATCTATCCCATAAGAAAGAACCAATCCCTGACACTATACTTTGTTATACTTGCAGACAGAAGCCTAGTATAACTATCCTCTGAGAGGTTCCACCCAGTAGCTGACCAAAACAGATGCAGAGACCCACAACCAAACATTAGACCAAGCTAAGGAAGTCTTGTGGAAGAGTTAGGAGAAGGATTGAGGAACCCAGAGGGAATAGAGATTCCACAAGAAGACCCAGAAAGTAAACTAACCTGGACCCTTTGGGGCTCCCAGAGACTGAACCACTAACCAAAGAACATACAAAGGCTGGACCTAGGCCCCCCACACATATACAGAAAATATGTATCTTAGTCTTCATGTAGGTCCCCCAATAACTGGGTCTTCACCCAGGTCCCCCAACAACTAGAGCACGGACTTACCCTGACTCTGTTGCCTGCCTGTGGATTCTGTCCCCACAACTGGGCTGTTTTAGCTGGCCTCAGTAGAAGAGGATGTACTTAGTCTTGCAGTAACTTGAGGTGACAGGGTGGGTTGGTACCTAGGGGGACCTCACCCTTCTCAGAGATGAAGAGGAGCAAAGGATGGGGGCAGGAGCCTGGGAGGGGGTACTGGGAGAAGAGGGAGGCTGCCATCAAGATGTAAAATGAGTAAATACATGGAGAAAAAACTATCTAGCATCTTCTGTATGAATACAAGAATATCACCAAATGAGAAAGGCTGACAGTGAGGGCATGACTCCGCGACAACAGAGGAATAAAAGAATTTTGGTGGTGGTGAATGCACTCTGAGTCTTAAAGGTGATGGTTGGGAGCAGGTTTATACTTGCTAAGGAGTAAGAGGTGGTACAGCAAAAGTCCATACATTCTACTGTGTGTAATTCATAAAGTTCACTGTGACTACTTAATTTCATGTTTTCATTATTATGTTAACTGAGTATACATGCATGTCAGGAGGGAGCACAGCCTTGCTACTTCAGGCTTGTAGAAATCAGAGGTGAGAGGGCTAGAGAGATGGCTCAGCAGTCAAGAGCACTGACTGTCTCCTCTTCCAGAGGTCCTGGGTTCAATTCCCAGCAATCAGGTGGTGGCTCACAACCATCTGTAATGGCATCCAATGCCTTCTTCTGGTGTGTTCGAAGACAGCTACAATGTATTCAAATACATAAAATAAAAAAACAAATATGAAAGCAAGAAAGGAAGGAAGGAAGGAAAAGAAAGAAAGAAAGAAAGAAAGAAAGAAAGAAAGAAAGAAAGAAAGAAAGAAGGAAAGAAAGAAAGAAATCTATCAATCAATCATTGGAGGTAAACTTGCAGAAGTCAGTTCTCTTCATCTATCATGTAGGACCCAGGAATTGAACTCACACTATCAGAAATGGTTACAAGTAACTTTACAAGTAAGATGAACCATCTTATTCACCTTCTAATTATTTATTTTAAAAACTGAGGGCTGATGAGATGACTCAGTGGATAAGTTTCCTGCCTTCCAAGCCTGAATAATGTCAATGTTTCAGAATCAGAATAGTGAAGAGGGAACACTGGCTTCAGCGATTTCAATTCTGAACTCTATTTACGAGCAGGTGTACATAGACACAACCAAACAATAAATACGTGTAAAGCAAATGTAATTGAACATAAGCTAAGAAAGCATGTGGAACAGTAAATCAATTTCATATGACATCCAATGCACTGCAGAACACCCAACAGAAAACAGTAGTATGCATGTAGAATAGGAACAATATCTAAGGTATACTATGTAGGAAGTAGGTGTGGAACTGTAGGTATAGATCAGTAGAAAATTTGATGGTGTGCTCCAGGACAATGGCTCAATAAACAGCTCGGAAAAATAATGTTTTCAGTATTTGTAGTAAATAATTGTTTCTATGTTTTAATATTTTAAAGCATGTTTCAACACATATAAAAACACACCATGAGATATTTGTGCTTCTAAACCTTTGAGACGTCTACCTGAAAGTATAAACAAGCTGTGTCTTGAGGAAGGATCACTTCGGTGTTTCCTTTGGAGAGTACTGTCTACATTTTCCGGATTGAACATAAAATCTATAAAAAATAAATATCCCAAACAACCTCACCTTCAAATCTTTGGAATTTATTAAAAGTAAAGCTAAACTGTGGGTCTTTCCAGAAGGACAAAGAAGCACACGTGCCTATGAACACACAGTGGAGATGGTCGCTGTGGTACAGGCGCACCTTCACCTGTGATGTCTCATCCTAGTCACTTGATGGCACTGAGGATGTCTGAAGGATTCCACAAGCACACTTATAAGAGTGTCTGTGAGGACATTTCCTGAGTCACTTGCTGTTCTAATCTGTGGTTTAAGACATTAATGCACTTTGACATTTGACAAAATGTTAAAAGATGGAGAGTTTTCTTGGGGAGAGTCTGGTTGGAGGAATTAGGCAATCGAGGACAGTTCTTTGGGAGCCGTATCTCCTCTTGGTCACTTATTTTACGCAGCCGTGCTTCCCACAGGCCATGACTTGAAAAGGTTTTATTCTACTGCATCTTCCCATCCTGGAGGAAATCTTGAGATCATGAGATAAAACTAATCCTTCTTCTTTTCATTGTTTTCACTGTTTTATGGCCACAGCAGTGAGACCCTCTCTAACATATGCACTATGTTCTCTGAATAAGAATGAAGAGAGATGCTGGAGGTCTTGTTTACTGGCCAGTCTAGAAAAAAAAAAGCATCATTAAAAATAGGCTTCAGGTCTATCATATTCACAGGGAAACTACCCCTTATTGCTGCATTTGTCAGTCAGTACAATTTACTGTAAAGGGGGGTAACAAAGCAGTCTTGCTGCTATTATAATGCTAAGTGCAAGCCCCCAAGACCTGGAGTCTGTAGGTAGACCCTTGACCCTGCCCCCAAATTATTTGATTGGTTAATAAAGATGCCAACAGCCAATACATGGGCAGAAAAGACATAGGTGGGGTTTAGGTCTCCTGAGCTTGGGGTCGGAGGAGAACCAAAAAGAGAAAAAAAGATGGAAGAGGAGAAGCCATCATGGGATAAGTAAGCCACAAAAGCATAGCCCTGAAGGCTGACCAATAGGAGTTAAGAGCAGCCCAGATAAAACATAATAAGTAGTAACTAAGGGGTATCAATATTCAAGTAGATTCAAAGAGAACAGAGGGTAAGTATCTGCCCAGATCTTGTGCTATTTAAGACTTATTGTAAATATAATCTGAAGTTTTTTTTATCTGGGAACTAAGTGGTCAAAGCTGGGGTAGAAACCCTAGATTGCAATTACATAATTTCTATAATGATCAAGAGAAGGGGAGGAGTCAGTCAATGCCGAAAGGATGGAGGAATAAAAGTCAGGAAACCAGAATCCTAGAAATGCAGAGTGACAATTCAACTGTCAAAATATAAACACCTGATGCCAAGAGACACGCATCAGGGTCTTGGCAGTGCTGGACATTGATGGCCCAGGGTTGTGAGGCTACAAAAGCACGTGGAAAAGACAAGAGCTTACCTAAGTAGAAGAGGGCAAACAAGGACCAGGCCTTTAAAGTTCGTTACACAAAGAACTGGAATCACAACAGTTAAACTCCACTTTCAAATGTCCTCTAACAAGAAATCTGCTCAAACAGTGAGTCCAGCATGTCTGAATCCCATAACTAAGAAATCCACCTGCAGAGTAAGAAAGGGAAGAGGAAAAATATAAATATTTTTGTAAGGAATCAATGATGTTTTTAATGAGAAGATCCAGAATCCCAGATCCCAGGTCAATCATTCATCTGGTAAAGTTATACACACGGAGAGTACCCTATTTACAAAACTACTGAATGGATTTTAGTTGCAAAACCTTTCATTCCTGATTGCATCCACTTAGACAGCCCTGGGGACTACCAAGAGAACCTGCAAAAATGTGTTTTTTAATCTTCATTGATTTATTTGTTTGGCCTACCAAACCAGCCAATACCAGAAGAAGGGATCCCTTTCCTACTTTTATGTAGAAACATAGTCTCCCACACTCTCCATCTTTGCCCATGTATCTAAGGAAGGCTGTATCCCACAAAGACAAGCATGATCATTCTGAAACTCCTAAGATGGCACATACCTGATGTAACTGTCCATAAGAGACACTTCTGGTCTTTTTTGGTTGCACAGTGTCCTGGCTGGCTTACACAATTCTTGGTAGAATTGAAAAGTGTACACTTGACACATACCAGAGCTGAAAGGCAAAACGAAGTGTAAGAGGCATACTCAAGGTCAGGTTCTAGCATGGTGCCTGTGGGTCTGAAGAAGAGATAAGCACTAGTGGTGATTGTGTTGTATGCTGTGCTGGCCCCCACAGACCTCTGGAAAGAGATGTCTTCAAGGCAGCAAACTTTAGGGGACTCTCCACCCCAAATCCTGGAAATAGACAAACCATAATGATGAACATCAGAGACCTGATGCAGGCTGCCTGAGCCAACCACACATGGATGGGCAGGTCCTCCCATTTTCTCATTGTTATCATCCTATCGAGAACTTTGCTTGCCCAACTTTCAATCTACATTTAGGGTCATGAACAATTGAGGGTAAGAAATTGAATTTTTTAAAGTATTAAGGAGGTGGGGTGAGGCTGTAAAAGGCAAGTAACTTGAGGAAGGATGTGGAATGAGAAGGAGGGAGAAGGAGGGCTACAATGCTGATATCAGAGGCAAGTGGGAAGGGGGAATGTATGAGTATGGAAATAAAGGATTCAAGCATCACATCTAAATGCAGTCACCTCCTATCTCCTGCTGCTCATTTCCCCAAATACAACACACTGTGATAATCAGATGTCTGTCCGCCAGGAGCAGCCCCTAACTGCCAGGATCTCACCCTGCAATAGCCCACCAGCAAGGAGATGCCAAGCAGGAGCATCAAGAGGTAGAGGTATATTCCTGTTGCAGTGAGATCCTAGGACCAGAGAGTATCAGAAAGCTATATATGCTTTTTTTTTAACCAGTCAATACACAACTACCCCATCCTCCTAAGAACTAGAAAGGGTAACAGAATCCAAAGAATGGAACACCCATCCAACAAACACAAGCCAAGATTTCAGTACCTAAAAAAACAATCATCCCAATGAGAGATGACTAGATACCTGCAAAAAATAAAACATAATTATTAACAGCCAGGACAATATGTATCCACTAGAGACTGACTACTCTACTATGGTAGTCTCTCAGAAATGTAGTATACATGAAGCACAGGAAACGGAATTAAAAATAGCTATTATGAATATGTTCAAAGAACTCTGAGAGGATATGAAAAAAATCGCTTACTAAAGTAGATGAAAAGAAAGACAGTGGAATAAAAAGAAGGAAACAGTTCAAGACATGAAAATGGAAATAGAACCAATAAAATCAAACTGAGGGAAAACTGGAAAAGAAAAAATGAAGAAGCATAAACAGGAAGCTCAGAGGCAAACATCACCAACAGAATAAAAGAGATAGAAAAGAAAATCTCAGGCACTGAAGACAAGATAGAGAAAATAGATACTTCTGTCAAGAAAAACATTAAATCTGAAAAAAATTGTAAAGGCCAAAAAAACACTTCCAGAAAATCCAGTATACCATGAACTGACCAAATGTACAAATAATAGGAATAAAGGAAGGAGAAAAAAACCCAGGGCAAAGACACAGAAAATATTTTCATTTTTTCTTAATATCTTGACTTGTTTAGTTATACAAAGTAAGCTACAGAATTTTTATTTTTTTTTCTTTTTATTGAGAATAGGGGTTTTTTTGTATAATCTTGATAAGATTTCTTGTCCTTCTACTCCTCCCAGTTCCTCCCTAAGTCCTCTCCCACCCAGATCCACTCCCATTAAGCAGGCTTCCAAGGGATAATAATAAAATAAAGTAAGGTAAAACAAAAACTAATGCATCAAAATTTGACAAAACATGGAGCTTGATCTTCATGTTCATCCCCTAACAATTGGAGCAGAAACTGTCTCTGACATGGTTTCCTGACATTGGATCACCTTTCCCTAACTGGACTACCTAGCTGGACCTCAGTGGAAGAGGAAGTGTTTAGGTCTACTGAGACTGGATGTCCCATGGTGGGGTGGTACTGAAGGGGGCTTCCGTTTCTCTGAGAAGAAGGGGAAGGAGTATCTGGGAGAGGGATTTTTAAGGGTGAGACTGGGAGGAGACAATGGATGGAGGAGGACACTATCAGGATGTAAAATAAATAAATAAATAAATAAATAAATAAATAAACAAGTTAAGAGGCCAACTCATTTGCACAATCAAGAATCCAATAAACAAACTAAACTGGACGCCATAATACATATGCAAAAGACCTGGTACAGACTTGTGCATACCCTATTCATGCTTTGCTCATGTTAATTTAGAGGGCCTTGTTTTCCTAGTGTCCTCTATCCTCTCTGGCTTTACACACTTTCTGCCTCTTCTTCCTCAGAGTTTCCTATGGGAGGGATTTGATGGAGATATGTCATTTAGGGCTGAGGGTTCAAGGTCTTTCACTTTCTGCCTAATTTCTGGCTTTGTATGGTTCTCCATTTGTTTTCATCTGCTGCGAGAGGAAGCTTCTTTGATGATGGCTGGAAGAGACACTCATCTATGAGTATAGCACAATGTCATTACGAGCAATTTTATTGCTAGACGCTTTTGTTTGTTTAGCTAAGAACATTAGTGTTTGGTTTTACTCTAGGTACCCAGACTATACAACCTCAGGTTCTTGGTCATCCAAGAAGTGCCACATATGAGTTCCATCTCATGAAGTGGGTCTTTAAATCAAATCAGATAGTGGTTGATTACTCCCATAAGCTTTGTGCCACAATTGCCCTAGCAAATCTTGCAAACAAGACACCAGTATAGATCAAAGAGTTTGTGAGTGAGGTGATGTTTCATTTTTTTCTTTTGCCAGCATGTAAGTATGTTTCTATACTGAAGATACTAGAATGTGACACTGAAGGCTTTATGTAGGCACCAGCTTGGCTTCTTTATGTTCAATGAATTGTGTAGGTGTTGTCTTTCATAATAGGGCTTTGCTGTCTTTTTTTGGAGAGCAAGTTATAGTCCTACAAACAATATGGGTTGTTTGTGGATTCCTGTTGGACCCCTTTAACCAACAAGACAATTACATGTAACCTATTCATGGTTCTAGAATCTTTATCTGATAACAAGAGGTGGACAGTTGGAGCTCTGTCTCCTCCATTATTTGGAGATTTCATTTAGATTGCCTTCAAGTATGTATATATTTTGGAAAGGTTCTACTGTATTATGTTTCCATAATACCCTTCAAATGTCCCTTAGTCCTTTGAGATAAGGCATTTTGTATAATTATTAAGATGTTTGATAAGATCCAGAGGAAAAAATATTCAGAGCAACCGCTGTGCAACTGTATATACACAGGAGCCAATACAAAGAGAGCCCATGAGAAAGAAGATAAAATCCTTGTTGATTATTTAGCAAATTGGAGTACAATGCTGTATTGCCTGGACCCTCTCAGTAGGAGTAGAAAGAGGATGGGGGGATTTTCTGTTGGACACATCTTGGCAGCTGGGTATGTCTTAGCATGTCTTGGCAACACAGCTGAATGGACCCCATAGCCACAGCCACTTAGCTTCCTGATGACCACCCAGCCACGCACAGAATTTACCCTGTAACTGTATCTTAGGGAACTCAAAGCCCTCCAGAACTGCAGACCTTAAAGCTGCTTAGGTCTGGCCAAGCTCAGAGCTTAGAGCAGCATTTGATATAATCTAAGTTCTAAGGAATGACAGGAAAGACTCTACCACCTGCTGTATGTGTTAGGTCTCACATGCTCCAAAGCCTTGGGTTTTTTGTTTGCTTGTTTGATTTGTGTTTGTTTTTTGTTTTCCCTTGCATTAGGAAAAGGTCAACATAGATTGATCAATGGTTCCTCTGTGGGGTCCAAAATTTAAAACAAGCCCAACTTCTACTACAAAAACAATCGCAACTAGGACACAGATAACTTAAGCTAATGCCGATTAATATTTCTGAGGTACTGGTCATTCATTATATGAAAGATGTGCTCTTCTCCTGGTAATCTAATCAATACCTAAATGAATGCTTAATGTTCATAGTAAATAAACTAAAATAGTAAAATTTAAAACTTGGGGCCATGTCAATTGGGCATGTTCTTATCGGCCTATCACTATAAGAAGATGTAGAGAGGTTATAAGATTCAGATATTATTATAAATAGGGCTGCTATAAACATAGTGGAGCATGTGTCCTTGTTATATGTTGGAGCATCTTTTGGGTCTTCAGTTAGAACTATTTCCAATTTTCTTAGGAACCGCCAGATTGATTTCCAAAGTGGTTTTACCAGCTTGCAGTCCCACCATTAATGGTGGAGTGTTCCTCTTTTTCTACACCCTCTCCAACATCTACTCTCACTTGTGTTTTCGATCTTAGCCATTCTGGTTGGTGTGAAGTGGAATCTCAGGGTCGTTTTCATTTGTGTTTCCCTGATGACTAAGAACATTGAACATTTCTTTAAGTGCTTCTCAGCCATTCAAGATTCCTCAGTTGAGAATTCTTTGTTTAGTTCTGTACCCTATTTTTAAATAGGGTTATTTGGTTCTCTGGAGTCTAACTTGTTTATAATAGCCAGAAGCTGGAAACAAGCAAGATGTTCCTCAACAGAAGAATGGATACAGAAAATATGGTACATTTATAAAATGGAGTACTACTTGGCTATTAAAAACAATGACTTTACGAAATTCACAAGCAAATGGAGGAACTAGAAAATACCATCCTGAGTAAGGTAACCCAGACACAAAAGAACACACATGGTATGTACTCACTGATAAGTGGCTATTAGCCCAAAAGCTCACAATGTCCACAATACAACCCACAGACTATATGGAGCTTAGGAGGAAAGAAGACCAGGATGTGGATGCTTCATCCCAGCATAGAGGGGGGAACAGGTTGATCTCAGAAAGTAGAGAGATGGGGACCTGGGAGGGAGAGAGGAGAGGGAGGAAAACAAGAGGAGGCAGGATTGCTGAGGACAACATACAATGACAAGGACTGCCTGCAGTAGGCCGGGATAGAGACATGTCAGAAGCCGGCGGCCACTCCTTGTAAAGAGGATGGTGTCTGGGACCCTGAGAAGCAGGAGACACATCCCTCCAGGGGACCCACCATCTGAAATAAGGGACTGCCTGCAGTAGGTCAGGATGAAGACATCTCAGTAGCACGAGGTAGCTCTTTGTAAAAAACGGTTGTTCCCATTTCTCCTAACCGTAGCCCTGGACAATGGCTGTATAGATTTCATTTGTACATGACTGTTTTTCAGTTGGCCTTGGTGTTCATAATTATTCTATTATATCTGACTTTCTTACTTCTTTCTTCTTCTGCTCTGGTGAATTCTGTGAAACTAGATGTTCCTTGATATAATGATTCTTAAACGATTAAAAATTGAGGCACAGGGCACAGCACAACACCGTCCTAATGGCCCAGGTACATGTTGTGTGTTCTCATCTTGGAAACAATGCAATAACTGCACAATGGTAGTTGCAGAGTAATGCTTGACTTGCAAAGAAAGTTTGAAGAGATTATTAGGAAATGAAATAGAGCCAACACTGGTTCCTGAAGAAAGGAAAAAAATCTATTGAAGTTATGAAATAAGTTTTACATAACATTTAAGAGTGGTTGCTAGATAAGGAAGTATAGAATGCATAAAATATTATACTAATAAAACTAAGTGAAAACATTGGGACTCTTAGGAGAGGCATTGTGTGCAATGCACAGAAGTAGAAAGCTAGTGGAACTACTGAGTTAAGGGTTAATTTGATTCTTTCTGGCCACTGCCTGGCAGGTTTGCCCATGTCATTTATCATTAGAGCTTCACAGGAAAATGCAAGTAGCGGACCTCGGAGCTCTGAGCTCTGAAGTATAATAAGTTAAAAGTTAAAGTTTAAATAATGATAAGTTT